AGAATTCCTAAAATACGGTAAGAAAACTTTAAATTTAAAGTAAAAGAGCGGCATCGCCTCTAAATTAATATTTGATGCGAGTAATAAGTTGGGGTGAAAGGGTGAAAAAGCCCAATTAGAATTCTACCTACTTCCATCGCTCCCTTATATCCTGTCTCTTATTATAGTCGGAGAGCTTAAGGGGAATCTAATGCTCGAGTTTTGACACAAATGTAGAGAGTCGGCTCATAATAGAATATAGCCTCATTTTTCAATACTTAAAAAAATATTTTTGTCTAGAAAAAACAACGTAACCCAGTGGATTACTTTCTAGCTTTTATAGACATTCATATACTTGATCTAATAGTGGATCAGACCAATCATTATGCAACTCAGTTTCTTATAGAGAACAAGAATGTTTCCAATAATGCCCGGGTGCAAGCATGGGAGCCAACAACTAGAAAAAAACGCACATTTATTAGGTCTACTGGGCTACATGGAGATGGTACGGATGAATTCCATTCGCGATTATTGGTCAACAAAGTGGCTGTTCAAAAAGGATGTTGCTTGTAATATTATGAGTCGTAACAAATTTTCTCCGAAGGAAACCGATTATATAAAGTACAACCAGTTCTAGATGAAATCATCAAAAACTACCAAAGCATTTATACACCTGGAAAAACATTTTGCATAAACGAGATTAGGTAGATTACTGTTTAAGCAGTATAATCCACAAAAAGGCCAAAAGGGCCGTAAAGTACATCTAAATCTATATATGCAGGAAAAGAGAAACAAGGCGATTTATTATTAGAAACTACCAAGGTTGTTCTGAATTTAGCAAAAGATATTTTAGGGTGTGGTAGACTTGGTGCAACTGATAATTGGTATACAAGTCTTCAGCTTACTCGCATACTCTTGGATAACAAAACGCACTGTCTGGGAACTTTGCGAAATAATCGTGAAATTGCGAAGTAATACAGAAAAAACTAAAAAGGGGCGAAATGAAAGAGGCATATGTATCCTCAAATGGCGTGACAAAAGAGACGTTTTAGTTTTATCCACCTGTCACACTGATGAGATGGTTCAAGTTTAATGTCGTGAGAATCCCGTTCAAAAGCTCAAATAATAATAATAGACTACAATTCGGGTAAAAACTCAATAGATTTATCTGATCAAATGTCGAGTTACAGTACTGCGCTGTGACGAACTATCCGTTGATACAAGAAAGTAGCCATTGAGGTATTATTGGGTACTTCAATTGTTAACTCCCACTTTATTTTTAAGCAAGTTGAGCGATATTTCTATAACCGACTTTCGTTATTAGCTTGTTAGCTTTCAAATAAAGTGTCACACTAATTTTTTACCCCGCTAGAGGACGCTAAAATTAAAAGGAAAGCAATGAACAGTCATATTGATGAATTCCCCATAAAATTACCTTTCCTACGTCTCATACTTGGTACTTTCTCTATTTAAATTGTATTGGTTAGATTGACGTAGGGGAGAGGAATGACATATGTCAGTTAATGATAATATAGAAAGTTGTCCTCCTTGAAATAAAAATCGACCTGTTTCTACGTTTCTTTCAAAAGAAATTCTACTTCAAGATATTTTGAAATACGGCCGATCGCCACCCTTAATGAATCACACTGTATATTGTCTATTTACAAGTTGTTTTATAAACTAGACATAGCGTCACAATGTAACTACTTGTTTTTAATATTATTTTATGCAAATCGTCCATTTTTCGTTGAAATTTAAAAATGCAAATGCCTGTTTTGGATGTCGATAGCAGAAAAATAAATTTATCCTTTTAAAATCAACGCGACTTTGTATTAACGTCATTAAACCTTAATACAATCCATTTACTATTTGATATTCCATTCAGCTAGACAGATGCGGGATCGATAGCTATTTACAAAGATTCAAACAGCCAAATATGGGCTTTCGTCATTAACAATTTGATCATCGATGAGTATAACTGACATCCGGTGAAGGTATTATCTCAAAAACGACTAGAAATGGAGAACTGTGCTCTCGTATTAATAGTTATTACTCCGATGACAATGACGAGGAATTTGAATGAATTTTAGGTATTTGGTTTATAGTTTTAAAGGTATTATAATACTTTTTTATGTCAGAAGGGAATAACTGGAGCTAGCCTGGTGTTAGCATACTTGTTTTAAAAAATAACGTTTGTCCAAAACAAAAATATATATAAAGTTTATTACATTTTCTAAATAGAGACTTAAGGCTGTCATTTCAGTTTTTAAAGGTTTACAATTATTTACAGAACTTTGGCAGCTGATAGTAAAATGTTTAGTGATTCCAATGAGACATTTTTGTTTGTCCTGGTAACTATTAAATACTATTAAAAAATATAAAATAGTGATATCATAGATGCTGTTTAAAAAACTTTACAGCATTCTACATATTTTTTTGAATATTCTTGCCAAATTTTAGTTCAGTTGTAGATGTCCGATGAAGCAAAAGTAGCGAAAGCTTCGACGCTGTGTTGCCATATCTTAATTTTTTTTTGAATTTAGAGGAAAATAAATTATCATGCATATGTACAATTTAAACACATAAATTTTATATACAGAGAGACTCATTTTTTATCGTTTTCTTAACAAGATGAATTTTTAATAACGTTTGGTGCTTTATCTAAAATCAAATACTAATTACTAAATATTTTTCTTAAAAGGAACATATTTATTATTCCATATATTATTCCATATTTCAATTCATTACAATTTTGTTTAGAATGTTGTCATTTATTTTATATTTCAATTCAATTGTATCTACATCTTAAAAAATTGTTTAATATTGTTATAAAACATGATCGAAAACTTAAATTTATCAGGCCCCTACTGACACACTCTTGATACAAAAGAAACGATTTAATTTTAAACAGGTTAGGCCACGTAGAAACCTGCACATTTCAATCCCAGGTTTTTAAGAACCATTCCAGGTGACCTTTTGTAGTTTTGTTGATCTTCAAATAGTTTATAAAAACTCTTGGTCCCTTAAGTCCGCCTATCTAAAACGATTTGGTTTATTTACTCTTTAAATTTACCCATGTAAAGATATTTGGACCCAAGCCCTGTTCATGTAAAATTATTTGGTCTATTTATGCCTTAAACCAGCTCATATCAAAATATTTGGTCCCTTTACCCCTTAATTCTGTATTTTGATCTTAATATTAAATGCAGATACGAGTTACATTCGGAAGTTTATTAAAACTCGTGTTACTACACCATCCGATATATGTCCCTATTAATTTCTTCTTAAAACAACAATTAATCACTTTCTCTTACAATAAATAACTAATCTTTTAATAGACGTTTAACAACTTTAAACAAGTTATTTTAAAATTGACAGCAATTGAAGCAATGTCCATGGATTTACAACTGACAAGCATGGGTATCTAGTGAAATCAGTATCCTTGCTTATTTAAAACAATGATATTAAAAACCCTAAAGTTAATAGAGAGATTTTAAAAATTAATAGGTTTCCAGGCAGAAAAACCATCAAGTAATATCAAAATTACAAGTCAATTGGAGTGTTCGTTGTAGAATTATTAAAACAGAATATTATAAATATTTATTTACCAAAAAATAAAAAATAAATAAAGATTTTTATAATTTATTATTATTATGTTATAAGCAAACCAATTCACGATTTTAAATAGATCTGCCTCTGCAATTCTTTAACTTCATTCCAACTTTCAAAAAGAGATTATTCAAGTATATAGAAAATAACACTGGTCCTAATGTCGTACCTTGTGGAACACCATATTCTACCAAATTTTCTTCACTAATCTTTGTACCTATTTTGACAAATTGCTTTCGGTTTGTGAGATAACTTTCAAAGAGTTTTAAAGGCGTTCCTCGTATTCCAAGATCTTGCAGAGTCTTTAACAACTGAGAATGACTCACAGTGTCAAACGCCTTTGAATGATCGAGAAACACACATACTATTGTCTATGTTTTCATATATTTCTTCAGATAATAAAGCAGTTGCGTCTTCCGTACACCGTCTCTCCCTAAATCCAAATTGCATGTCAGTTAGAATATTAGATTTATTTAAAAAATTTGTTGATCTTTCTTTTAATGTCATTTCAAAAACTTTTGCAACATTAAAAATTAAAGATATTGGGTCTGTATTTTTAATGATGAATATTTTTCTTACGACTTGTTCCATATCATGTATTTTGATCTTATGGACTATAAAGTTATTATTAAACATTCTTTTATCCACTCATTGCATTTTTGTTCATTTCTTTTTCGTTTATAATACTACTGGCCTAATAATAACTCATTCATTTATCCTTTTCTACTAAGCTACTTCCTTTAATATTCTTCACGATTATATACCATATTTGAAAGTCAATTTTCAATTCGAAACATTGTTGATATACAATATTTGGTGGTTTTATAACCAAAAAACTTTCCGAGATGCTACATCTAGTTATTTAATTTAAACAACTCGAAGAAGTTAAAACTTTCTTAAATAACTCCCTTTTCCATCCCATTATGTACATACTTTCGGAACGCTATACCCACAGACTACATCAACGTTTCACCTCTTAGCTGATTGGAATCAAGAAATATCAAACTCGTTAACGTCACTGCCTTAAAATGGAATTTCCAAAGGCTGAGCAATCGATGTAATTCACCAAAAACTCATTCTCCAGTCTAAACTTTCTTCAGACAATTACCCCAAATTAAATGTTGGTAGTTGTTAGTGGAGTTTTTCGCACAATTAGGTAATTAGTTTTTGTTCCGATGAATTTGCCATCTATTTGCCATTCTTGCTTATTTAAATGATTAAAATTATTTCGATAGGAACTTAAACCGAACTAACGGATATTTTAATTTCATTTATATATACTGGGTGTTAGTATATTCGACCGTCAACGCTCTGCCATACAGATCAAGACCCAAATCAATTTTGTTTGCCATATAATCACGATTTTTTTAGGTTAGAAAACTTGCATTATATTATCGTATGCATTATTTTAGGTCGACCTTCCCAACTACAAAATTGTACAGTTATCAACCAAACCTCCAATTCCCTCCAGGTGGACTGCATGGAAGGGTTCGATGGAGGTCTGCCTCAAAGTTTCCTCATGGAAGTACTTGAACTCCCAAACCTTCGGCCAAGGATAAATCTAACTACTTACAGAACACCTCCTACCTTCACAACGAACGGTTTGGATGCGGGCGCGAGTTATAGGATCATCCTGTATGCCGAAAATGCGAAAGGCAGGAGCGATCCTACTATTATTGACCCCGTTACTTTTAAGGGAGTGGCTAAATTACAAGGTGAGTTTTTTTATATTAATTTTATAATATTTATAATACTATGAGTTTTATGTCTATAAAAATAGTGATATTAGTAAAGAAAATTATACAATATCAAAACAGAAGTAAAAAATCTGAACTAAGGTCGTCAAAATGGACTGCTTATGTATGTAGAGGTAGCTAGAAGTCCAATTTTTACTAACCCAGAGGAAACTAAAAACAATTATACTCTTAAAATGATGATTTATATAATAGAGATCATTTTAGATTTAAAATAGCTTTCTCCTAAGTCTAGTAGTAGTATTTATAATGAAGGTATTCACTTAACCAACATTTGTTGTTGCTGTAGTTGGCAAAAGGGCATCGCAGGAAGGGCAACATAGAAAGTAGAATCTTGCCTTACAAAATACATAAACTTGCACTCAAAATAGAGTGGAAAATATAGTTTTGTATTCTGATAGTTGTGATGGGCAAAATCAGAATTTAAAAAGTGTGTTAATGTTGAAAACGATTTTATTAAACCACATCTATTTAAGAACTGTCAATTTTAAGTACCTAAGTTTGGTCATATTTTGAATTCACTGAACGCGTCATAAAGAAGAAAATTAGAATTAAATTACTTATAATTGCAAAAAGAAATTAATAAGTTTGAAGTAGAAACTATGTAGAAAGAAGATTTTTATTCCTTAAAAGTGAAACAAAAGGAATATTCTGAGTAAAGTATATTATACTTTCTTTGCTGTGAAATAATATGTATTCTTGGAAACGTCAGATATTTATTTGGATATTGCAACAAATTCAATGGAAAAAATTAATTTGTGGCCCTGAAAAGGGCCATTTGTTTGCGACAATAGCTTTCGTCGTAACTATTAATAAATGTAACATAAACAGTCAATTTTTTACTTCTTCTTTTTGGGGGAAGCTGCTTTTGTCGCTTTTGGATAACTGGCGGCTTTTGCAGTTTTTGGTTTAGGTGCTTTAGGTTTCTTGGTTTGACTTTTTGGCCTTTGTTGGAGTCTTAACTTTTGCAGGTGAAGCAATTGATGTGGCAATTTTTGAAGCACCAGTTCTCTTATCATCTTTTTTCGCTTTGGTGGCTTTCTTTTCTGCTGTCTGAGTTTTCTTTGATTTCGCTGATTTCTTGGCTGCTTTTGGTTTTTCTCTGGTTGTTGTTGTTGTTGTTGTTGTTGTTGTTGTTGTTGTTGTTGTTGTTGTTGTTGTTGTTGTTGTTGTTGTTGTTGTTGTTGTTGTTGTTGTTGTTGTTGTTGTTGTTGTTGTTGTTGTTGTTGTTGTTGTTGTTGTTGTTGTTGTTGTTGTTGTTGTTGTTGTTGTTGTTGTTGTTGTTGTTGTTGTTGTTGTTGTTGTTGTTGTTGTTGTTGTTGTTGTTGTTGTTGTTGTTGTTGTTGTTGTTGTTGTTGTTGTTGTTGTTGTTGTTGTTGTTGTTGTTGTTGTTGTTGTTGTTGTTGTTGTTGTTGTTGTTGTACTACGTTTTACTGTTTTTTTTAGTATATTAAAGCGGGAATACCACAAGGGAGCGTCCTTGGTCCTGTCTTTTTTCTGTTTCATCGGCATCAACTGCTACGATTATTGACCTCGTATTCTATGTAGACTTTGTTGGTGTTTCCTTCCGCCACTTTAGGAACAGCACTGTAAATTAGAACCCAACAGTGAAAGGTCGAGTGGGGAGTCCTACCTAAGCATTATATTTCGTATACTCGTCCAAATAGATATCACACCCTGTAGTACCAATATTACACTTTATCGAGCACAATTTTAAAGAGTGAATCACAAAAAATAGACAAAAAACACACTCTTATCAGCAGCGGCTATACCTGCCTCAACCACTGCGTATTAATTTCATTACATTATTGTGCTTTGTCGAGTAAAATTAAAAATGCCGAATAAACGGGTTAGTGATAGTAGTGACGAAAATGATCGTTTGGACAGAAAAAGGAGGCGTTTAATGAGAAAATTGGAACGCATAAACCAAAGTGTTCGACAAAAACGTCGAAAACATTCAAGTTTTTCAAGTGATACTGATACCGACAGTGAGTACACTCGTAGCTAAAAATGTTAAAGCTAAAATTAAACTATTACTCAGTAGTTCGAAGAGACAAAACTGTTAAGTCTCATTAAACGAATAGCTAAAACTGTTAAAGCTAGTTTATTTAATATAACTATAAAATGGTAAGTAATTTTTCCCTTTTTACTTTTTAAGGTGATTCACCTCAAGTAGTGCATGATATTCACGAAGTTGAAGTGCATATTGAAAAGGAAGTAAATGATATACCGGTCGATGTACTACAAGACGCTGTGATATCTCAAAATGGAGAATTACCGCAGGAGTATTTGTTGCTTTTTGGGGAAGAACCCGTGGGAAATACTCCACTATGGGGTGAGGAAGTACAATCAGTTATTGCATCATACTGGAATAAATATATTGATCTTGGTGTTGACAAGACAGAAAAGGAGGCTCTCCAAAAAAAGTACCTGATACCTAAAAATATACCTCACCTTAAAAGTCCTGAACTCAATCCGGAAATTTTGGCTTCAATTAGTGAAGCTCAGAAAAAAGAGGATAAGTATAGCTCTATAATTCAAGGCCAGATTGGCAACGGTCTAGCTGCTCTTGCAAAAGGTCTGAACAGATTGCTTAGTGTTGATGAAAATACTCTGATGAGGGATCTTAAGACGGAAATAATTCCATGTTTAATAGATTCGGGGAAGATTTTTACCGACGTTTTTCACATGGAGTCAACTAGACGAAAATACCACATTGAAGCCAGCTTAAATCATACGGTTAGAAAAATTGTGCGAGAGAGTAAGCCTGACAAATTTTTATGCGGAATGGATTTTGCTGAGAAGTTTAAGGAAGCCAAAAATCATCTTCGTACCGGAAAGGAGTTAAAAAATGCAGGCCCCAATTCTACCAATTACAAACGGTTTTCTGGAACACAGAGCGCAAGCGTGGCAAATACTGCAAAATTCAATGTACCATGTAACACTGGTTCTTTAAACTACCGAGGCCCCCACTACAAGTCCAAAATGAAAAAGCCGTCAGTGAACAAATTTCAGAGAACATCATATTATCAGGAGAGAAAAGGATATCGGAAATAAACACGGTGAGTTTGTACGCCGGTAGGTTAAGGTTATATAAAAAAAAAAACTGGAAGGTTTTTATTAAAAATAGAAATATCCTGTCATGGGTTAAAAGCTATAAAATTCCTTTTATAAAGGCTCCAGTTCAAACTTATATATATCAACCTAGAAATTATAGCCATTTAGAATCAAAAAATTTGGATGTAGCTATTTCAAATTTATTTAAAAAAGGTGTGATAAGAAAATGCGAACATGTCGCGGGAGAAATTTTATCTTCCTTTTTTCTAGTTACGAAACCGGATGGTTCACATCGTTTCATTTTAAATTTGAAACATTTAAATACATTTATAGTTGAACCTCCACATTTCAAATTAGAAAATTACAAATCGGTAAAAGATATTTTAACTAAAGGGTGTTTTATGTCTACTATTGACTTAAAGGACGCTTATTATATGATACCTATTTCGGAAGACTGTAAAAAATATTTAAGATTTAAATTTAAAGATTGTCTTTATGAATATAATGCAATGCCAATGGGTCTCTCAACAGCTCCTTTTATTTTCACAAAATTATTGAAACCAGTTTTTAAAACCCTTCGACTAAAAGGTATTTGCTGTATAATATATTTAGATGATATTCTGGTGGTAGGAAAGAGTAAACAAGAAACAGAGAAAAGTGTTGAACATATTATTCTAGGCTTGGAAAATTGGGGATTTATAATAAATTACAAAAAATGTAAATTGACACCTTCGAATGTTTGTAAATACCTTGGCTTTATTTACAATAGTCAGAATCTCACCCTAGAACTTACCCAGGAAAAGAGAAATTTAATTTTACATAAGGTTATTAAATTACAAAATAAAAAACAAATATGCATTAGAGAATTTTCAAAAGTGGTTGGCATACTTGTTGCTGCATGTCCTGCTGTAAGTTATGGGTGGGTTTATATTAAACATCTCGAACGTGCCAAGTATTTAGCTCTTAAAAAACTAAAATCGTATAATGCTATCATGTTAATTTCTGAATCAGTAAAATGCGACTTAAAATGGTGGAAAGATAATATTTTAACAACTACAAATAATATTCATAATCAAGAATTTAACTTGGTTACTTTCACTGATGCCTCAAAAACAGGGTGGGGAGCTGTGTGCGAAAACAATTCTACCCATGGGTTTTGGGATGAAAGACAAAAACATTATCATCAATTATCTAGAATTACTAACAGTATTTTACGCACTAAGATGTTTTCAAAATAATTGTTTCGTGTTTCGGTAATCCGATAATTGATTTGTTTGCATCTATTATTAACAAAAAATGTCAAAATTATGTCTCTTGGCATAAAGATCCAGGTTCTCTAGCTTGCGATGCCTTTACATTAAGATGGAATAGTTTCTATTTCTATGCATTTCCACCCTTTTCCATAATTGGCAGGGTATTAAATAAAATAATAAGAGATAAAGCCAAAGGAATTTTAGTTGTGCCTCTCTGGCCTACCCAATATTGGTATCCTCTATTTTTAGACCTCTGTATAGAGGATCCAATAATTTTTACACTAAATAAAACCATGTTATCATCTCCATTTAGGGCCCCCCATCCATTGTGGGCGAATCTTTCGTTAGTAGCCGGGAAATTATCCGGGGATCGTTCTTAGAGAGAGGTGTTCCTGACGCAGCCATACCAATTATGATTAAATCTTTGAGCAAATCTACGCTCAAACAATATAGTGGTACTTATAAAAAATGGTATATATTTTGTAATCAAAGAAAGTTGAATATATATAAAGCGGATATTGGAAATGTTATTTCCTTCCTTAATGATTTATTTTTAAATGGCGCATCATTTCCTACGTTAAATTCACATAGATCTGCTCTGTCCCTTATCTTAAACTATACAAACGGGAACGAAATTTTAATTAATCGTTT